CAGAAGCAGCAATACTAAGTGCTATTGGTATTACTGATTACTAGGTGACTTGTGTACCCTTGTCCCTGAGGACTTCCAGTCTGGAAGCCAGCTTTGTGGAACAGGATTATTAATTTGTCTTTATCTTCTGAAAGAAATAAAATACCCTCAAACTCCAAAATATCCCAATGAAGTCCCCAAAGGCCTACTGCCCATGTTAACAGAGGGAGGCCCAAGGTTAAGCGTTAAGTCCCAGAACTTTTTTTTTTTTTTTTTTTGAGAATTCTAGAATAAATGAGAACAAAGAAGGTTCTTTGCTTCTGATTCTGAAAACATGGCCTCATTAGAACAGATGTATTTGTAGCTTATGTTTGCTTCCATGCAGGTCACTGCTGCATTGCAATAAGCATGAATATGCATATGACACACACTTGCTTACTCCTTCTAGTATCTCTGGTAAGGACTCATGAGAAGAAGCATTCAATCTGAGAGATGGGGAACTGTGATACACACTGATGAATTTCCAGGTGTCTTTCAGAACACGTAGGTATTTGCATACGTGTTCAAAGCATTTGCAACTTAAGGTTTACAATGTTACTCAGAGTGCTGTGTATGTTATAACACTCTTTTCCTGCAGTACTTCTCCTTTCTTTGATTCTTTATCTCAGGAAAATATTTCAAGAGATATCTTTGAACATAGATCTTTATCTCAGGAAAATATTTCAAGAGATATCTTTGAACATAGAGTAGGCATTTTGTGATCATGGGCTGAGTATACAGACCCTTTTACAGACTGAGGCTGCCAAACAAGACAGATCCTTTCACACCGTGCTAAAGAAAAGTCTTATTCTGTGGTTGTTTGTGTATGTAGTATTCATAAGATGTTCTGGAAATTTTTTACCACATATCTATCTTACCATGTCTCCTCAGCAGGCTTTCCATCTGTTTGTAACAACTTGTTTTTGCTTTGTTATCTCTGAGCATTTCTGACAGGACAGAAAAAAAGAACAAAATCCCAGAGGTTATCAGTGATTTGAATTACGATGATGAGATGTAATGAGCTTAGAGTCCTGCTTCTTCATACCAATTGCTTATGATAGCGGCAGATAAAACTGTATTTCCAGGATATTACTTAGTCCAGTTTGGGCTAGCAGTTTTCTCTCTTCATGGTTCATGTTAGTTTCACACCCTTTGAGAATTGTGTGTCATGGGTCCATACAGAATCCCAGGTATAAATGCGAGCTTCACTTGTGCAAGAGAAAGAATGGGAGTGCCCCAGGATGCAAATCACACCAAAAGGGGCCCAAAGAGATGGGAAGGACTCACAGCTCGACACTAGTTGTAGAGGACATGCTAGGAGATCCAGCTTTGAGGATGCTGCTACATATATGCATACGCTGAACACAAGAGGTTCAAAGAGTGATTGCACCCCTCTGAGACACCCCCATGCCCTTTGCTTCACTGGGTTTTGTGCTAGTTTGGAAATAGGACAGGTAGTCCAATCTATTAGGCAACTATGTCTTCATTTCACCTTATAAAGGATGTGTCTCTAAAAGATCTATTCCATATCATGATCTATAAGAAGACAGGAAAGGCAATATGGTCATGAAGAAATGTCCTAGATTGTGGACATTTTTGAAAACTTTGTTCTGCATTAGTTTTCATTATTCACTACTGAACAGAAATTCAGCATTGGGTTGTTCCTGTAACCAGGAGTGACAGCTGTTACAAGATCACTAACTGCAGATGAATCTTTGTCATCTCAGAGTCTGAGTTCATTCATGTCAGCATTTGCCTGTTTTATAGAGGAAATTACCTACCTCCTGAATGCAAAATTTAACCCTGAATATGAAAGCATTTCTTACACAGGATGGAGGCTCATAAGGGAGTTACCACAAACAGTGCCCCTGTGCCACATGCTCTAGCTGTCCCTGCTGGAGCAGGGGGGTTGGACCAGATGATCTATAGAGGTCCCTTCCAACCTTAAGCATTTTGTGATGCTGTGAAACAATAAATTTAAAAATGTTTAGAAAATGTAACAAATGCAAAACTTAAACAACTTAAAATTGATGAATAAAGAAACAAGTATATTATTTGCAAAACATAGTTTGGCCAGTACTAGTTAGTAGCCAGAAATTCACTTAATGCTTCACCAACAAATGCAAAATAATCAGCAACCCACTTATCTCCCACATACCTTATGAATGTCTGAGCCACATGTAAAAATAAAATCATATTTTATTTATTAAGTAGTCCAGACTTTATTAAGCTAACCAATAGGACTTATATCCAAGTAAACTCTAAGAAAGAAATAGAGTGAGATTTCAGAATTTGGCTCTGTTACACTGGTGAGTTACTTACCCACTTTGAGCTTTGATCACCTGGTGATCAGATTAGCAAGGACTAAATTTGGTCCTGCACTCTCTGCAAGACATCTCATAACTTAAGCTGAGTTGAGAAAGCTGAAAGTCTGTACGGGGCAGATCCAGATAGCTGGGTTGAGAACTGAAGCCTTGATGTAGTAGATGAATCTTTACAGGTTGAAACAGTCCTTGTAGTCTTATAGGTAATTTCCTTGCAGTAGGAAATGATGGAAAGGTCTACACGGTCAATCCATCTTTCAGATCTGCGCTGACTGGAGCAGCAGCCTTGCCATGTCTGCAGAAAGTATCCCAGTGTTGAGCTCCTTCATTTGCCTGTGTGGCATATTCAGATACGTGACAAACAGTGAGATCACATGCTTCAATTTATTGCATGGGAAACAGCTGGCGGGATCTGGTGGGATATTTTAACAATATGGAAATAGTATTTCTTGGGGTCCTCACTCAAATGATAAACTTTTAAAGTTTATCCAAAGCAGCTGGGATTTGCAATTTCCTCATGAGGTTACTTCGCATGGTATATGGCACTTTAATGTCTTCAGTACTTTTTCATAGAATAATTGAAGTTAGAAGACACCTCTGGAAATAATCTAGCTCACCTTCAAAATTAGGATTTTTTTTTCAGAGTGTGCCTGAATAAAGAAGCTGCAAGGATTTTCCTTAATAGGAGATTCAAAACTATATAGTAGCCTGAACTGGCAAGTAAATTAAGCAAGGCAAAATAATTACACATGTTGCATCAGACCCTGCTAATCCCTGTCCCCTGCATTTATGACACTAGGCTCCAATGTCATCTGTCTTTCAGTTGCTATAAATACACTAACTTTTTATCAGAGCAAAACCAGGGAGGATTCTGCATTCATCAAGATGAATATCCAATTTGCATCCATTTAAATCAGTTTAAAAGTTGGTGTCTCCTCGGTTCTTTCTAATTTCACTGCTATTATTCATCACAACCTTAGACTATGAATATCCTGAGGCTGGGGCAGTTTGCATGTGTCTTCAGAGATTACTCAGCATTGCCCTGGTTGACTGGGGTTCTTCCGAGCAATGCTGAGTTTTTCAGAGTAGAAAGTTTGATTTTCAGCAAGAGTTCCAGGTATTCAGCAATTTACAGGTCTCTCCTTAATACTTTAGCAGATATGATCTCTGGGACGCATACGAAAATAGGAAGAACATGGTTTGTTAATTAGCATCACAAAGGAATTTCACATTTATGCAAGAAACAATCTCTCATTCCATTCAGTATTACACAAGAAAGTCATGAATACATTCCAGAGAACATGTTAAATAACATAAAAATTAAATATGCCATAAATAAAATAAATTGAGGAAAAGCCTTTCTGGCATACCACTTTTTTTTTTTTCAAAAGTGTAAAAGAACAAGCATAATCTACATAAATATCTCTAACAATTGTAAAATATTAACAAATATTTACATTAATTGCAGCTAATGTTGGTTCACTTTAGGAATGTGTACATTTATGACTTAAAATCACCAAAATACAACATTACACATAAAGCAGAGATATGAACACTTTAGAAATTCATATTCAAGCAAACATCCAATTAGTTCATGTGCTTTTTCTACTTTATTATGGTCATACAAAAATATGAAGAAGGTGTTTAGGTAAATCCTAGGTAAATTAGGCAGGAGACAGACCCAGGGTATTGTCACCATTAATTTATTCACAGCTACAGAGGAGGCAGCAGCAACGAGATCTGCCCACCATAGTCTCATTTAGGCAACACCAACATGTCCCAAGGAGCTCCCATTTCTGAGGAGAAGGTAGTGTATCCTCCATGCTGCCCCCTTCCTTGTCAATAAGGCACTGAACTCTCGTATAGAGAATCAACTAAATCACTAAAATCTCGATCAGTATCAACAACGAACGAACAATGAATCTTAATCAAAAGTGAAACACAAATTCAACCAACATTTGAAGATGACACAAGAATAACCCTTAATTCCACCTGGAAATTCATAAATATTCTATGTATTCCAGTACATTGGAATTTTCAAGAATTTCAGAACTGTACAAGACCTTGGCTAACACAGTAGAAACTATTTTTATGTGCTTATCTATTTTGCTCTCTACTTGACCCAGAAATGCAAGGTAGGGTAAACTGTGTACTGAAATATTAGGAACATTTTCAAGCTCCTGTAGAAAAGCACTACATACATTTTTAATATTTCCCACCATTTAGCCACAAACGCAACAACAGAGTGCATGTTTGAGCATCTGAAAATGTACCTCCTAATTAAGTAATGATTTAAATGAGAGGAATAGACTCTACCTTGTTCTCCTCAGGAGAGATCTTTTTATTTTTTCCACCTCAGAAGATAAAATTGGTTCCGCATTTGTGTGAGGTAAAGGTCAAAAAATACATTTTTAAGACTTCAGTTTGCCTCAAAGTAAATGACAGTTTTTCGAACATGGTGGGCAACTTTTCTGTTAGCAGGCGAACAGAAATCTCCTCTAGTGAAAACACATGAGAAGTCTCCTTTCCGTGGAGTCCTGCAGGAATTGCTGGCTCTTGCCCTGTGAGAAAACTCCTGAGGGGTGTCACCGGGTGAATCACACGTGGCACGGTGCAGCCTGCAGCTGATCTGGGAACTTGGGGGCTGTTGCCAGCGGACTAGCTGCCGTCTGCCCCGTCTTTGCTGCTACTACAGGTCTTCTCAACATGGGGTGAATTTGGTGCTTCTTTGTTTTCTCCTTCCTGTTCTCCTTCCTGTGATTCTTTTTCCATTTTCAATTTGCCACTCTCAGTCCTGTGATTAATGGATGAATTCGTCTTAAATGAGTTCAGTCTCCATCTTCTCAGATGCCTGTAAAAATCTTTTCTGACGTTTTCGCTAACCAGCACATATATGATTGGATCAGCAATGCTGTTTGCAGTGGATAAACACAGAAATACTGTAAAAACAGAATATATATCTCTTTCAAATGGACATGAACAACTTGGATTAAACATGAAGTAGATGGATCTTATTAGGAGTACCACATGGTAGGGAGCAAAGCAGATCAGGAAAATGACAATAATGGCAATAGCCAGGTACTTCACTTTGGCTTTTTGGCGACAGTTCAAACTGGTGCTTGTTTTTGTACTTTGGAAAATTTTGTAGTTTGTGAAAATGAGGATTGCGAAAGGTACAGCAAATCCAAGTAGGAATCTGGCAAAGTTGAAAGAAGCTAATTTTGTGTCCAGGGGAAAAGTTTCAAAGCAGGGTGTGTTAACCAGATCCGGTGGGTTATCTTCCATAGAAAATACGGGACTGTGGATTATTGCAACCATAACAAAGAGAACACATACAGTTAGGATTGCTTTTCTCTGTCCCCTTTTTCCCCTTGATTCCAAAGCATATACCAATGCCACATAACGATCCACGGAAATGCAGCACAAGAGCAGAATGCTGATGTATATGTTGCAGAAAAAAATGAATCCTGTAACTCTGCACGCATTTAGACCCATTTTCCAGTCATGCCCTTCTTGGACATAGATAATCCAGAGAGGCAAGGTACTCAAATACATCAGTTCACACAATGATAAACTGAAAATGTAGATGGCTATTACTTTATTTCTTCGGATTTGTACGAATGTAAGCAGGGAAGTTAAGCAATTTGCTGGAAGTCCTATGGCAAAAACAATGCTATAAACAGCAACCAGCAGCATCCTGCTTTCCTTGTAGGGCATGCCTGAACAAATGGAGATGTTCTTCATGACAATGTCACAGGCCACAGAATCTCCCATATTTTTTTTTCCAACTGGTGTTTCCTGAGTAACAGAAGACAAGATGGGAAGTTAGCATTTATATTGCTTAAAAATATGTCAGTAAAGATTATGGTCCCGAAGGTGCCATCAGGGCAAACAAAGAGGATGCTTGTCATGGTGAAGCTTCTAAGGCAGACAGGTTTTCCAAGACCATGTTGGTTTCATGCAGAGTTCCTAAGAGGCAGGTCTGGTTTGCTCCCAGTAAAAAGGGTGCCTTTCTTTGCAAGGAATTTATACAGCATGCCCATTCACTAAGCGAGGGTGCCGGGGGCTGTCCCTAACCCAGGCTGCCTCATAAATAAGAGAGTGCTGATCAGTCACTGATGTCACTTTCTGGAGGAAACTGAGGGCATCATCATTAGAAAAAAAAAGTAGCAAAAAATGCAAATAATGGAGATTTCAGAAATAGACATCTGAAAAAAATATTTATGGTCAGATGGAGGAGCGGTCTGAAGTGGGTGGAGGTAGTTACGTGTTTTAGACTACGCTTCCTCCACTTGCAGGAATCATAATCTGGTAACTGTTATGTACTTTCACAGTGTGATAGAGCAGAGTGATTCAGACTAGATAGTTCACCCCCACACATAGGTAGCTGCAGCTGATGAATATCAACTTCCACTGCTATGTAACACTCAGTCAATCAATTTGTCTATCATATTTGTTTGATATCTCTGTGAGACTAGTGGAAATAAGCACAGTGAGAGGAAGTAAACAAGACTGAAGAGAAGAATATAAGAATTTAAGAAGAAGAATATATAATAAATAAGAATAGGAATTTAAGAATAAGACTGTAAGAATTTAAGAAATGGAGGTGAGGAAAATTAAAGCTCTTTTAACAGGGATGATGACAAAGAACTCCACCTTTCCAAGACTACTATACTCAAGAGCAGACTTGGCATTTGGTTAGTGTTAAGTCGTGTTAGGAGAAGAATTTCTAGTAAAGGCACCTAATGATTTCCATGCAGAAATCTCTTCCATGTGAAGAGAGCAATCTGGAGATGGGCAGGACCATAATGGTGCTGCGTGCCCTGAATAATTCTACTTTACTGTATTTATGAGAGGAAGATGTCTTCTGTATAAAGCCCTCAATAGAAAGAGGCCTTGTGTATACTAATCTTTTGAGCTTTCTCCTGTAAGCTCAGGGAATAGTCAGATAACTCTCCAAGAAGGACTTGAGCTGAGAGAGTCAACTTCAGACAGTCCTTCAGACAAGGAGGGCTGTGAGCCTGGCTAGTCCATGTTGCAGATGAGCAATTTCTTGAGTTCATGTGGGGGGAAAGGCAGCTTTTGGCACTCTCTGAACATTTATGTGCTGATTGTTGGGGCAGGCCCACACAGACCAAGGTGAAGCAGACTGATCCCAGTGCAGCAAGCCTCAGATTCTCTCCTGTCTCTCAGCAGGCCCAGTCGGGCCTTTCCCTTTGTGTCTGCAAGAGCTGTCCAAGCAGTGTCAGTCTGGATGCCATATGAGGCACTTGCTGGGCAAGATCCCTATAGCTTGAGAGGCAATCGGTGCTCTGACCCAGCTTAATTACCTTGTAATGAGAACAGTATGAGAAAGCAGACACAGACTTAGGCGGTGCCACAGATCCTCACAGCAGCAAAGCACTTGCCGCAACCATAAATAGCAAGACGTGTTTTCCTGGAGCTTGAAGAGACATGTTTGTTTACTGCAGTCAGCCCAACGCAGGCAGAGTCTGCTCTGTGGCGACGGCTTCGTGACGTAGATAACCTTCCAGCCCTGACTTGTGAGCAGGTGAAGCAGAGGCAGACGGAGAGGTCGTCCTGTGCGATACCTGCAGCCCGTGGCACCAGGAGCAGAGGAAGCCATTCCTCAGGATGAAGACTTGGAATGTGCCTCTGTAGATGGAGGAACTGAAAAGCCCTGCCTGTGTGGAAGAAGCACACCGAGGGGTGCGAGAGCTCTGTGATGACCTTCCACTTCCCTCTGCGGCAAACGCTGTTTCGCTCACGTGCCGACTGATCGCTGCTTTACTCAGGCCAAAGTATCCCATTCCTGCCAAGGGCTAATGGGCCACATCTCCCCGTGCCTGCAAACAGGACTGTGAATAGCACTGTCCAGTCTATTTGTCCAGATCATCAGTTTTGTCCAGATAATGAGTTTTAAATGTTCCATCTTAAAAATGACTGACAAAGAGAATCCTTTCCGCTAAGAAGGGGGAAGACAGTGCAGTACAGAACTGGGCTCATGTAAGGTGTTTTTGCATGAGAAGATGTAAAGTTACTTCCCTCCTTTCCTCCCAAAGCAAGCATACTCCTGTCTGGGGTTAGCTTAAAAAAGTGGCGGTAGCAATATTAGTTTCTGCTGCCTCTGGGAGTCCATCACACTTAGTGAGGGCAGTGAGACCTGCTCCCGGCCAGCTACCAAAGAGGTGTGGAGAGAGGATAAAAAAACACTGCTCAGTTTCTGCATCGGCAGAGATCCTGCAGCCAGATCCCTCCTGTGGAATGTCACATGTGAGGTCGCGTCCTCAACTCACAGGTTGAGTGTCGTCAACACGCTTGAAAGTCACTGTACACCTGCGTAGCAGAAAGCTGTCTTGGAGACCTCTGTTTCTAGGAAGAGGCACAGCGAGTGAATAACCTGCAGCGGAGACCGTGACCGCCAGGACAGGGCTGTGCGCAGTTGCAGCCCCTCTCCATTACTCAGCGAGCGTCTGTGCTAAGCGCCTTAGCACGAAAAATCTTTTAAGAGTAGTTGAACGTCTGTTCTCCTCCCCTCCCCCAGGCTTTGCTTAGGTTTCTTGACACGATGTCTGTCTTGTTTGGCAGCCTACGCCTGTCGCTTGCCACTCATTGTGCGAAGACATACATCCCCCAGAGGCACCTGTCCCGCCAGCGAGCAGTCGGCGATGGTGCAGGCAGGAAGGAAGTGGTAGACAAGTCATGCTGTAGACACGCGGTTCCCAGTGTTTCTTTCTCTTGCCTCCTACCTTTGCCTTCTCTCATCCACTCTGCTCCTCGCTTTCTCCACATACCTCTTCCTAGGCTTGCTGGCTCATTGGCCTCCTCACGTTTTCCCCATGGCAGCGTGGTGGTTGCGTGAGGCAAGGGCCAAGGAGGCTGCAAATGCCTCTTAACCGTTCCTGCTGGCTTCTCACTTGGCCACGTGGACCAAAAGGTAATGCTGACATTCAGGAGAACAGCACAATATGAACACGGGACACTCAGAGAAAAGGGCAGGGCAAATCACTGCGTCTCCTTCCTGAATTTAGGACATGTCAGTGAGGCTCAGGAAGGAGTCTTATTTATTTATTTATTTATTTATTTATTTATTTCTCTGCGTATTGTCTAAGCCACGTGGGTGAGACTAAGCAGAGAAGACTTCACAGAAATGATTGTCAGCTGCCAAGCAGAAAGCCTCAGCTGACAAGGTAATGACATAAGTGTGAAATTATGCTTGTAAAGGAAAAAAAAAAAAAAAAAGTGTGCTAAATGCCTCTCCTCAGGATGTGGTCTGTCAGTTCAGGATCCTGGGTCCTTCCTCACAGTAACACCCTAGCACCTCAACCCCGAATCGGGAAGGAAGGGGAGGTCATCCATCTGACTGACTCCATCCCTTTCTCCTGGCTCTCTGCAATGTGCAGAGCGGAGTCTTCTGGCCCTAGCCAGAATATCTGGCCTCAGATCTGAGCCTCGTTTGTCTCTGCTCTGCTCTGCAAGCCCAGAGAGAGGTCTCCTCTTGCTTTTCTTTTGTTTCTCAAAGTTAAGATCAGAAGAGCATCACGCAATAAGCAGTTTCTGAAAATTCAGTCTCTAATACTATCTCTCTGCAATTAGATACACATTTCTAGCCTCTTGTCAGCCCTTTAGAGTTGGCTGTTTTTATACCTCTGCTGAGCTCTGAAGCTTCCCAGACCTTTCTTCAGGGTGGACAGGCTGTCATGGCTGCACCCCCACATCCCCAGGGCAGCACTCGTAACTGTGCTGCTTGATCTAGAGAGGCAGCTGATGACTGGTGAACATCTTGTCACTGTCCCACAGTTGTGTATGAGTGGAGCAGCTACCCTACATCTCAGATACTCATTGCAATAAAAAATAACACAGAGAAGAAAAAAAGGAATATGCACTGTTTGGGGTTCGCTTCCCTAGCAACCTGCTCTTGGCCAGGATTGTACACATGGTATTGGGCTAGGTAGACCTCTGGTGGCTTCTCTGATGATGTTCCGTTCATTATGTTAGATAGATGTGAAATCTCACAGACTTGAGGTGCGAGAAAACAGCAGAAGTGTCTTGCTGCAGACCAATAAAGCAAAGCCACAAAGCCAGTCTGAGAAACCTGCCCTTTCCTTGCCTTCTCTTTCATTCAGTGTACCTTGTGTTCCCTGCAGCACATTGTCCAGGTTTAGCAAGTTGTGCCTCCTCGGGCTTTCCTAAAAAGCAGGTTTGAGTTCAAACACCAAACCGGTATTCTCCAGATTTTCCCATCTTGTAGTCACGGGCCAAAGCACTGCTCTGTCATGCTGGAGAGCCCAACCTCTGCACAGTCATCCGTGCTCTTTTCAGCCGGAGGGCGCATCTCTAAAGGTGCCCTACATGTGCCTGGGATGCTCTGAGGATGTGGTTTCACAGCGCAGCCAAAACAATGTAAGTCAATAACACCTTGTTTTCCTCTCTTTTGTCCCTGGTCAATGCCTGGCCTGTCCCTGCAGTGAACACACGCAGGGCAAGAGGATAGCAGAAAGCTTGTCCCTTTTTTTAAAAAAAATCTGTGTTAGTTTCCTTCACATTAACATTCTGAATTGGATCACTAGGGTCAAACCGGCACCCAAGCTGGTGCAAGGGAATTAGTAGCACATGGACAAAGGTAGAGCAACCAGAGGCAGATGCAGGGAGGCACGTATTGAGAGCAGCTTAGCCATAACGTGGTCTGCACCCTCCATCACTCTGCAGAGGTCCCCAGTCTCTGTTGGCTAATGAAGGACCTCTGCACCAGAGTTACTCTGCTGGGACCAGAG